TATTAACATTTTATTCACGTAATTATGACCTGAGCCACTGGTAAATAACTCACGGATTTTTTTCTGTTCAGTGGTGCACTCATTGTGTATGCTAAGACCAGAGAGGTGAGGGATGTACTGTATGTGACTCAACCAGAACTCAGTATTTTCCTATTGCACCAGTATTGAGTTCATTCTTCAAGCTGCAATCCTCTCCCACATTGTGGGAGATTGAGGCTGATTAATCCCAAAAAGAATTAATAGCATTAGTCTTCTTAATGTGTTTCCGAACCTCTGAGGGTAAAATTAGGGGCACTTCCATTAATTGGATTTAATTGAGTTGTAGGGTGAATAGTCATTGATTTATCTAATGGAAAACAACATAAAGTACCAAGTTACTGCAATGAGTGAAATGGATAGGTAAGGCCAGACTTGGATTTTATTAGCTGGAAGACTGTAGGAGGAAGGGAAAATTGAGGAAGGGAAGATAAGAAAGGCAAGGAATGCCATGGTTTTAAGCCCCTGGGGAAAATTTAATTTGAACAGGCAGTAGTGTGAAGTATTGTCATTTCAATGCAATGAAATTTTAAGGCGTACAATCCATTCAAGAACTTGTGGCAAGTTTTGTTTCCATTTTCAGAAGTTCTCGGAACTGACCCATACTTTATTCCCTCTCTCCCTAAGAGAATTCAGCTGCTTAGTCAGAATGCAATAAAAGCAACCGTGTGAAAAGTCTAAGTGACGGATACAATATGGCTGTATAGTCAGTGTAACAGCTGAGCAAAGTGTAATCACACATAACAGTCCCGGTGGTGTCACGCAAATCTTCTGGTGGCTGGAGTGTGTGCAGTGCACGGGTGCATAGGTGGCATTAATTCATCTTTAAAGTGTTCAGTGGTGCTTTGGTATCTTACATAAAGCTACAATAAAATAAGAAAGACTTGCATTCGTATAGCCTCATCATGTCCTGAGGACCTATGAGAGCTCTTCACTGAGATGATTTTTGAATTGTCATCGTGTGCAGCGTAGGGAAATAAAAGACCAAGTTTAGACATTTGCAGCAAATATTTGCATTAGGGACCTCTTACCTGGCCCAACTTTGACAGGTCTGTTCAGACCACGCCTTAAGTACTATAGTCCACTTATGGCCACTGTGACACAAAGAATGCATTCAAAAGCTGTTGGTGATGATGTGGAGAGGCTTAAACTCTTGGTGCTTTGATTCAGGATTAATCTGCCAATGAAGCAATCCCTTTCTAAACCTGCAGATATGCAACATTTTGACTTCTGCATTTGAGTTTTTGTTAGAAGCTTAAGTTCTGAGGAACAGCTAGAGAAATGTGAGCTGCGTAAAATATCGTTATAAAGTATGCAAGTTATAAACTATCATAAAGTTACAAAGTATTGGTCATCTGGAGCAGGTCTTTGAGGTTAATCTTGAAAGTACAACAAATTGGGGAGAAGCATATCTTCAAACTGTTGAAAGTTAAATTCAGGACTCATGTCTGAAAATTCCTCACACTAAGTATGATTAGCTTTTCGATACTGTGGGGCAAAGATCCGAGTTGTTTAAGAGACAGTTGAATGCTGTACCAGTAAAGCAAGCTGCTTTGTTCTGAATAGTGTTGAGCTTCTTGAGTGTTCCTGGAGCTGCAGTCATCCAGGTAAGTGGAGAATATTCCATCAGCCTCCTGACTTGTGCCTTTAGATGGTGGAGAGGCTTTAGAGAGTCAGGAGTGAGTTACACGCAACAGAATTCACAGCTTCTGACTTGTTCTTGTAGCCATAATATTGATATAGCTGGTCCAGTTCAGTTTCTGGTCAATGGCAACCTCCAGGTGTGTTGGTAGTGGGGAATTCTGAGATGGTAATGCTGTTGAACATCAAGAGTTGTTAGTTAGATTCTGTCTTGTGGGGGACGATGATTGTTTTGCCCTTGCATGTCTTGTGTGTAACTTGCCAGCTATCAGACCCAAGCCTGAATGTTGTCCAGTCTTGTTTCATATAGGCACAGATTGCTTCTGTTTCTGAAGAGTTCTGAATGGCACTGAATACTGTACAATTGTCAGTGAACATCCCATTTCTGCCCTTACGATGGAGGGAAAGCTGTTAATGAAGTAGCTGAAGATTATTAGGGTCTAGGGCACCATTTGGCAGAATTCCAGCTGTGATGTATTTGGTCTGAAGTGATTGAGCTGCATTGACCACAGCCGTCTTCCTGTATGCTCAGTATAACTCCAGACTGTGGAGAGTTTCCTCCCTGATTCCCATTGACTCGAGTTTTCCTGGGGCTTTTTGATGCCACACTAGGTGAAATGTGGCTTCGATATCAAAGGGTCATTTTTACTTCACCTCTTGAATTCAATTCTTTTGTTCATGTTTTAACCAAGACTGTGTTGTGTCAGGAGCTGAGAGGCCTTGTCAGGAGGACAGACTGCATCAGTGAGCAGATTATTGCTGAGTAAGTGCCACTTGATTGCATTGTCAACAGCAGCTCCCATCACTTTGATGATAGAGAATAGATTGGTGGGGATGGTAATTGACCGATTTGGACTTGTCCTGCTTTTTGCATGCAGGGCTTACTTGATCAATTTTTTTGTACTGCCTGTGTAGATGGCAGTGTTGTAGCTGTATTGGGATAGCTTGGCTAAAATGTAGCCAGTTCTGGGGCAGAAATCCTATCTTCTACTGCCAAAATTTTCTTAGGGCCATTAGCGTGTGCAGAATCAAATGCTTTCAGCACTTTTTGATATTGTATGGAAAACTCAAATTGGCCAAAGACTGGCATCTGTGATTCTGGGAACCTCAGGAAGAGGCTGAAATGGATCATTCACTCAGCACTTTTAGCCGAAGATGGTTGAAACTGCTTCAGCATGTGCTAGGCCATCCCATCATCGAGAATAGGGATATTTTTCAAGGCTCCTCTAGTTAGCTGTTTAAATTTCCACTACTATTTATGGCTGAATGTGCCAGGACAGCAAGGCTGATGTCTACTTCTATTGGTTATGAGATTACTTGGCTCTGTCTATCACATTTAGTATAAGATTACCAGAAAGGTAGCTTCTAAGTACAGGCAGCTCTCTTAAGAAAAGCCTGTATCTGTATAGCGTCTTTCACTTTTTCAGGACATCTCAAAGTTCTTTACAAATAACTAGTTACAAATTTGTGTTACAAGTGTAGGGGAAATGCCAATTGGTGCACAGGAATGAAAAACGTGACGAGTTAAACTTCTCTAGGTGCATGTTGAGAAGTATAGTTCAGGACACTGATTGCAACTCCTCTTTGTTCTTCAAATAATGCCAAGTGATCATTTTCATCCCTTTCAGAGAGCAGATGGGATATCATTTTAATGTTTCATCTAAACACTGGCACCCTAGGCAGTGATAGTACTCCAAAAGCATTTCATAGGTCATAAAGTGCTTTAAGACATCTAATTGTTGTGAAAACACTATAAAAATACAGGTTTTTCTTCTTGCTGACTTTTAGCTTTGTCCCTATCTGACTTTTGAATGACTGGAAGTTTGGAAAGACTGTCCTTGACACCTCAGAGAGGGATAAATCCTAAATCAGAACACCAAGACCCTTTGGTATCAACAACTGGAATAAATCATGTTAATGGTACTTGGATTTTAAACTTTATACACACCCTCTAGCAGGAACGTCCCTGAAGGGGTGTCCTTGTACGCTGTTTCTTGTGAGTCGCCAACAGCTGAATGGGTGTTGAAGGGGTCTCTATATATTGAAGTTGTGCAGTAGCTCATCTAACTACCATTTATCTGCGGTTAAGCAATGTTGGTGCAGAATGTCAGGAAAGAACAGTGCCTGTTGTGTGAACATTTCCCATGTCTCAATTATGTAAAAGAACCCATAGTACAGTTTTTGATTTTATTCATCTAAAATTTAATTGTGTATGGAGGGAACAGCTCGATCTGTTTTCCTAACTGGGTTGAAGTACAGGTGGTGATAACGAATGGTAGCAATTTGAAGCAATTCTGAGAAACTCAAGAAGCAAATAGTGCATCATTAAAAATCTATTGCATTAATTTTTTCTTCCCTGTACATTACAAGATTATTGACTTTGGGTGTTCTGTGATCCTTTAAGTATGGGGTTTCCTGTTGCAGTTTGTCATCACACTTAAAGTATTATTTTTAATGTATCCTTTGACACTGAGTGAACAATGCCAGGGGAGATCTGAAAACACACTTTTTTTATATACCAACAACTTGCATTTTACGGTGCCTTTAACATCACAAACATCCCAAAGTGTTCCACAAAAGTGTTATTAGTCAAAATTGGACACTGAGCCAAAGGAGATAATGGACCAAAAGAGGTAGGTTTTAAGGACCACCTTAAAGGAGATGAAAGTATTCAATGAGCCTGCCCCCAGTGCTCTCCGAGGAACAAGGCCCCAAGAGCTCATGACCATCAGAGAGAAAAAAATTCCTCTTCATCTCAGTTTTAAATGGGTGATTACTGATTTTTAAATTGTGTTCGCTCATTCTGGTCTCTCCCATAAGAATAATCATCCTTTCAGCATCTGCTATGTCAAGTTCCCTCAGGATCTTGTATGTCTCAATAAGATCACCTCATTCTTTTAAACTCCACTGGAAAGAAGCTGAGGCCTGTTCAATCTTGCCTCATAAAATAACCCCTACCCATCTTGCTTATCAGTCGAGTGAGCCTCCTCTGAACTGTCTCTAATGTATGTACAGCCTTTCTTAAATGAGACCAAAATGTTTAGTAAGGGAATTCCAGAGTGTATGGCCCAACCGTGACTGTTGGCAACTGCTGACTGAGTCTGAGCTACAGTCTGAAACTATCAAATATTTTCCAATCTGCAGCAATCAAACTCTGATTGTTCTCATCCTGTGTTTACTCGACACATCTTTGTTGCCTTGAAGGCCAGGTCCTTGAGCAGCACAATAATACTGTTACATTCCAGTCTTCAGCACTCTTGTCCTTACTAACAGCATGACATACTTTCAACACCGTACTTATCAATTGTGTCTCATTTCTGTAGTGGTTCCTCTCCTGATCTGGAATTATGGAAGATGATGAAAACCGGGATCCACAGCAGAACGAGTGCTCAGGGGATGAATCCGAATTGGATCAATGCACTGAATCTTACAGGGAGCGAGGTACCAGAAACAATCTCTTTCTTTATTTCCTCCAATTTCCTGCCCTCCTGAAGGTGCTAATTCCACCAACATCAGTAGCGCTCTGGTACCTTATCCAAATGGGAATTCCACCTGTCTGAGTTAGGATGGTTATTCCTAGTCAACTAATAGATGGAGAGATAGTGGTGAGGAGAGGAAAATAGTGTTAAGAGCAGATGCAGTCCATCCAGTTCTTCAGGTCTGTCTTCTAGTCAATTTGATGACAATTGATTTGTATATTTTGGTATATTTTCAGCTACTAGCCCTGCTGGTCTGGTATCTGTTGTGGTTCGTTCCACTGGAGCCATCTGAGGTCCTTTGGGCAGATTCATTGCCATCAGTTCTCCTGTTTGATATTAGTTTTATTTACTTATTGCAAATGACAAACACTATGTCTTTAGGAGAGGCATGGTTTTCATAACTGGAGTAGGTTTGCTACATAGTACTTAATACATCTGAGTTGCATGAGAGGCCTTTGTAAGATCTTAGGCTATACTTAAGATTAGGTAAACATTACAGTTTGCTACATACACTTAGCACTGACCTGGAACTGAATGGCAATTTGTTCTCCTCTAAATGATCCTTGATACTTTGGAGCTTATCTCATGACATCAGTTAACCCTTTCAGGTGCTAACTGCAATGTACAACAACCTTGATCCACCCACCTTTCCAAACCCTGAGATTTTTGTAAGGTGTGGGTACTATCTTCTAAAGAAGAGCCATAAATTCTGTTTCTCTCTCCGCAGTTGCTGTTAGACCTACTGAGCTTCTCTGTAGCACTTTCTGTTTTATGTTAAAAATCTATCAGTCTCAGTTTAACACTTACAGCTACTCTCCTCCTCCCTCCTGCCCCCAAAGCCATAGCAGTTTTTGGGTGGAGGGAGAGCACTATGAATGATGGGATGCTGGAAAGTACGAGAGATCCTTGTTCTGAATATCTGCAGATCCCTGAAAGTAGCAAAACATGTAGATAAGGTAGTTGGGAAGGCATATGGAATACTGGGCTTTATTAGGCAAAACACAGAATACAAGAGTAAGGAGGTTATACTGAAACTATATAAAATGCTGGTTAGGCTACGAATGGATTGCTGTGTGCAGAGTTCTGATCACTATATAACAGGAAGGATGTGATTGCACTAAAGACATTGAGGGGAGATGTACCAGAATGTTCCTGTGGAGGGTCTGAGCTATGGGGAAAGATTGGATCGGCTGGGGTTGTTTTTTTCTTATAGTCGTGAAGTTTGGGAGTTATACAAGATTATGAGGGACATAGAGCAGATAGGAAGGCACTTTTTTTTCCATCAGTTGAGGTGTCAATAGCCAGGACGCTCAGGTTTAGGGATGAGGTAGAAGGATAAGAGACGAATTGAAGAGAATATTTTTTCACTCAGAAGGTGGTGGGAGTCTGGAAATCACTGCCTCAAAAGGGGTTGAATCAGAAACTCTCATATGAACAGTATTGAGAATTTCACTTGCATTGGAATAGTCCCAGTGGAAGTATTTTATTCACCCTTTGTTTGAAAATGTGCTTTGTACCCCAAGGAATATAAGCCTGTGTTTTTGGCTTTAAAAGAAAAATAAGTTGTTATCACATTTGGCAGACCAGTGGGGATGTACTTGCTGGTGGATATGCAGTAGTGGTTCAGAACCACATGGTGTCAGTGTTTGGTCACAGGGCCATCCATATGATTCTTATTGGGTTTGTTCTGGTGTTATACTGTTCCCTAGGTTCTGTGATGAGCTATGCACCTTTAGAGCTGGTTTCACATTTAGCCCAGATCATACGACAGAATGGAATTTTCTTCGCTCATTGGCTATATGCTTATGCAAAACAAGTTAGGTGTTCGTGATCCAGTTTCAGTTGGCCTTCGTCCATAGCAGAACCTTACCACCTCAGTTGACACCTGCCTGTACCCAGCCTAATTAATTGTAGCCACCTGTTTCCTTTGAGTGCACCATTGGTCCTTTATGGCCTCACTGACCAGTCTGAACCATCCATCTCCTCTTTGGTTTTGCTTTTGTGAAGCATGCGTTTTATTTTTTAAACTGCTTTTTATGAGAAACCCTCAAAAATCCAGAGTCCAAATCCATCCCAGACTTGAATGTTAAGATCTGACAAAACGCTATTGGCCTGAAAAATTGCATCATTTTATTCCTGTCTCCTTGATGATGCTGCCTGACTTGCTGAGCATTTTCTGCATTATTTCCTCTTGTTTCAGATATGTAGGATCCACCGTAGTTTGTTTTTCTTTTGATAATTGCTAGAGAGAGGCTGTATTAACATCTTGTGGATGGTGTAAAGGTTGCCTGGAAGATGATTCCTACTCACTCCTCGATTCCTTGATCTCTTTTATTGATAATTTCTAACCTGTTCAGAGGTAATACTGCACATCTCTGGAGGAGGTGGGTCTTGAACCCAGGCCTTCTGGCTTCGAGGTAGGGATACTATCCCTGGCCATCAGACCCTTTTTTATCAATGGTGCTATGTCTTGCTTCTGAACTTTGTTTCTGAGTTACAAATACTCTTGCCCCAATATTCTCTGTATTGAAATCAAAACTTGCCACCCAGTCTTTGTTCTTTCCAGAACCAGGAAAACCTCACTCACATCAGTCTTTCATTCACTCTGCAGTTTTCTTCATTTTTTTATAGGTTTTTGTTTTTACAATCTATGCATCACAGTTGACTAGTACTTCCTGATTTGTCTCATCACTTCTGCTCTTTCCAATGTCATTGCCATCCTGTCTTATAAGCTTTAATCCTTCAGCTCAATTTCTCAATCAAAAGGAAAGAAATAGCAGTCCCACTGGGTGGAATCACAATAACTTGCATTTATATACAAGCTAAACATAGTAAAACGTTCCAGGCTACTGCACATGTGGACTACTGAGAGATGTGGATAGCTGTCACATTGCGCACTAAAATGCCGCCATAGTTCCAGAGGACCATAGGGCTGCTGCCTCATTAGAGCAAAACAAATAGTGGATTTAACCAGAGGGTCAGTATGCCTCAAGCGAGGGGCAGGGCTAAGAAAGTGAGACCTGGATTGTGACCTCAGCTGCTGTAGGAATTGAACCCGTGCTGTTGGCATCATTCTGCATCGTAAACTAGCCATCCAACCAACTGAGCAAACTGACCCCCAAAATATTGGACATTCCTCTGATGATAGTGTAAAGTACTGGGAGCTCTGCACCACATTTAACCATGCTACCAGTGACCTGGGAATGCTGAACATGCTCAGTTCTCCGGCACTGACATCCTTTGCTGAGATCACTTGATGACTTTTTAGAAACTTCGATTATGCTGGAAACACTCCTGCTGTGTAATCCCATTTGAACTGTAATTACTTTCATTCTCCTCACTCTTGAAATCTACTGCAGGGTGGAGAGGACAAGAGTAGAAGCCTGCTCAGAAGAATCTGTTAATGCTGTTTGTGAGACAGTGCTGAGACCTGAACTGGGCCACAGGGACAATTCCATTCTTGCTGTTCCCTGCTGTAGCACACGAACCGTACACAGTTCATGCAGAGATATACTAACAGACCCTTGGGTGCTGCTCTATGCAACAGTCCCCACTGCATCAACTTTCAGATGGAAATCCACACTCTGAAAACAAGGACCAATATTACAAGGATGCACATACTTCAAGAACAGCTTTCCTATTGTGAAATATTATTCCGTCATGATAAAAATTAAAGAAGTAAACACGGTGTCATTGTTTGTTTGTCAGTATAAAAGCTGAGAGGGAGCATAAAGGTCCTTAAGATGATGAGGATAGACCTATGGATATACAGATATTTGAATTAGGAGCAAGATTAGGCTCTTCAGCTCCTTGAACCTGTTCTGCCATTTGATGAGTTCATGGCTTGTTTGATTGTGGCCTTTACTTTTTTGTCTACTGCCTTTCCTTTAACTCCCTTGCCAGTCAAGAATCTGTCTAAGTTGGTCCTAAAAGTACTCAAAGGCACTGCTTCCACTGTTCCCTGAAGAAAGGAATTTAGCAGACTAGCAACCGGCTGACAGAAAAACAATTCTCATCTCCAATATAGAAGTGGTGGATGTGGGTACAATTACAATATTTAAATGACGTTGGATAAGTACATGAATAGGAAAGGTTTGGAGGGATATGGGCCAGGAGCAGGCAGGTGGGACTGGTTTAGTTTGGCATTATGTTCAGCGTGAACTTGTTGAACTGAAGGGTCTGTTTTCATGCTGTATGACTCTGAGTCTGTAAACTGGAGACAATTTGTACTATGTCTCCTAGTTTCAATCTGTTCCACAAGAGGAAACATGCATTTAGTGTCCATCCTGTCAATTTGGGAACAGATCTTTCTATTTACGGAGAATCCAGATGCCATAAGTAAAAGTCACCAATAGTTCCTGTGCTGAGATAAGGGGAAGCTTCTATCCTAGAGTGTGTACTCACTAATACAGGGAGTATTAGAGACAAATATTATACACGTGTTCAAAAGATTGCTGGGTAAATGCAAGAGAGAAAGGAATAGAAGGGGAAAAATCAACCAAAGAACTGCAAATACTGGAAATCAGAAACAAAAACAGAAATTGCTGGGAAAACTCAGCAGGTCTGGCAGCAGCTACAGAGAGAAAGCAAAGGTAATGTTTTTGAGTCCAGCAACCCTTCCAGCAACCCTTCTTGAGAGCATTAACTCTGCTCTCTGTCCATAGATGTTGCCAGACCTGCTGAGTTTTCCCAGAATTTCCGTTTCTGTTAGAGGAATAGAAGGATATGTTGATAGGGTGGGATGATTAGAGGTGCCTTGGACTATTGGGCCAAATAACCCAGTTTTGTGTCACACGCTCTGTAATAATCTCTTTCATCATAATTCTTTAAATCCTGTCATTCCTTAATCCCCTCACATCAAACCAACTATGTATCTCTTAGAGATAGTAAGAACTGCAGATGCTGGAGTCAGAGATAACACAGTGTGGAGCTGGAGGAACACAGCAGGCCAGGCAGCATCAGGGGAGCAGGAAAGTTGACGTTTCGGGTCGGGATCCTTCTTCAGAAATTCTGAAGAAGGGTCTCGACCCGAAACATCAACTTTCCTGTTCCCCTGATGGTGCCTGGCCTGCTGTGTTCCTTCAGCTCCACACTGTGTTATCTGTGTATCTCTTATATATTTTTAACAGATAGAAAATACTGAAATGCTGCTTCGCTCCACAGACGCAGCCAATTCTGCAGAGGGTTTCCAGGCTTTTCTGCAGCCTCAGTATTTCTTTTATATCTGTACTAGCCTTATTTTTTAAAAAGTTTGTCCGAGCCATAGGAGCAGGATGAGGCCTTTTACCACCTTGAGTCTCTTCCACCCCTCAGTAAGATCTTGAACAATCTGTGACCTAACACCAGATGTCTGCCTTCACCCCATATCACTACATACCATTGGAAATCTGTTGATCTCGGATTTAAAATTAATAATTAATCCTACATCAACTTGTGTATGTGGAAGGGAGTTTCAAAATTGTACAGCATTTATGGTGTACTAGCATTGCTTGCTTTGCTCCTGAAAGTTCTGTCTTCAGTGTTTAGGCCATGTTCCCTAATCCAATATTCCCCAACCAGCGGAAACAGTTTATCTCTATCTCCCCATCAGTTCAGCGGAAATAGTTCCTCTCTAACTACCCTATCTGTTCCCCTTAATAACTTTGATCAAATCTTGCTTTAATCTTCTAAATTTCAATTTGCATTAATCTCTCCTTATCATTAAATAGTTGGAGTTCAGCTATCATTCTGATGAATCTATGCTGCATTACCTCCATGATTCATATTCCTCCTAAAGATGTGGTGTCAGAATTGCACTGTACCACTTCCTTGACTATCTTCCTCAACTTACTACCAATGTCTCCTTCGATTTCTTCAAAATCAAGTTTATAAAAGTAAGCTGTCTCATTATTAGTTATCAGGTGGCCATTGCCCACATTCCTGGTTTGCTTGATGTTGTTTTAAACCATGGCTTTGTTTCCGTGTGTTGCAGGTGCTGAGCAGGTACAGCTGATCCTACAGCCACTGGGGAGGAGCCCACTCGATAAATGGACCGAGTGCAACACTTCGATGCGGGCTAACTGTAGCACCCCGCCGTGTGTGCAGCAAGTTAAGGTAATGTTTAACGTTGTAATGCTGTGCAGTCAGATATCTTGGAGAATTACCGCTATCTCGGGGAGCTGCAGATCTGATGTTCAGTCTGTGATTGAACTTGGCTGGCCATTCTCAGTCAGAAGGTTAGAAAGTTAGACTGGATCTCCTATGGCACTATTTCAAACAAGTGCTGGGATGTACAACCCTGTTTCTATGCCACTGTTGAAATCTCAATTAATATTCATAAAACAGCCTTTTTGGTCTTTATTTCATTGCTGTTTGTGGGATTTGCTTAGCCTTTCACATCTCAAATCACTTGGCATCCAGTGCAGCGGTGTTTGAAGTTAGTCACTGTTAGAATGTTGGGATTAGAGCAGCTAGTTTGAATGCAGCAAGATTCAAGATTAAATAAGACAGTGAGGAGATATTCTATTCTGCTGTTTACTGAGGGATCAACACTTGTTAGGACAGTAAAATGAACTGTTCTTCGAAATAATGCCACAGGGTCTCATACATGCACCTGACAGAGCTTGGTTTAACTTCTCACCTGAACAGCAGTAACTCTAACATTGCAGCTGTCCCTCCGCACTTCAGCTCTGCCACCCTAGACTTTGAGCTGAACTCTCCTGAGAAGGATTGAACCCATACCTTTCTGACTTTGGGACGGGAATGCAATTCAGTGAGCCATAGCAACACTGACCTGATACTGTAGCTAACATATCATTAGTCACAGTAACTTGGTGTGTGTCTGTGTGTGTGTGTGTACTGTCAGACCAGCCTGTGTCAAACAAAAACTGATTTATTTTCCAGAACACTCTGCAGCACTTAAGAGATTTGAATGCAGCCACTCGACAGCCAAATGACTGTGGAAAAACATGTCAACGAGGTACGCATAACCTTTCGCAAAGTGCAAACGAGCTTGAATGCAGTTAAAACCCTTCTATGATCAGGTCTGGGGATGATTATTATCTGAATTATTAGAGGTAGGCATTCAGGGGTGAAACCAGAAAATGCTTCTTCATTCAAAAAGGCTGGTGGAAAACTGGAACTCTCCTGTATGTACAGTATTGATGATGGATTAGTTCAAATCTTGGAGTTAAGATCAATAGATTGGTGTTACACAAAGACACAAAAGGTAATGGAGTTGATGCCCAAGCAACAGGGGCTGAATGGGGCTCTATGTCTGTGAAGGGACATTCCTGTCCAGTGTGTGTGTGATGCTGCTTAACGAGATGTGGGAATCTGCAACTTTTGAAGCTTAATCTAATGGGAGAAGTATTCAGTTTTCAACATAGCTGCCTTGTAACAACCATGTCCTATAGCAGGAATAGCAAATGTAATTAATTAGCGATTGAGGTAGATATTGACACCTGTGTCTTGGTGGAGAAATCTGTAATTTTAATTTCTCATCTGTGTTGTGTGTTAATCTTATTTAATATCTCTAGTTGGAATTACTGCCTTTTTGTGTGGAGTGTTGCTGGCAAGGCCAGCTTTTAATAACAATCCCTAATTGTTCTCCCGTTACCAGTGTCTGGTTTGTGTACATGCTGCTATAGTATGCATTTGAAAGCTCAAAACCCACGTTTGTATGGCTGAGAGCACTCAAGTAAACATTATGTGAAGATGTCATATCCCAACCATTATTCTTCACTACAGTCTAGGTAACAGCACAGCATTAGTGCTGCGGGGCTACATGTTGACTTATTAAAGGTCTATGTGTATAGAAGTGTAAATACACATGCAGTCCCATTGCACCACGCAAACCTGCAGTAAACACCAACAATGTGTTCTGGGATCTCAGATTCTGCCACAGCCCCAGTAATGTTGTAAGCATAAATATGATTCTTCATTAAGCTATCTCTGAGATAGCCCTTATACATTCCTTTGGTGATCTGAAAGGGAAGTGCAAACTGATAGAGCAGTCAAAGAAGAATTGAATTTCTGCTTGAATAGGAACAATTTGCAGGCTTATGACATGGCTAAAATGGGCTGAATGCCCTCACTTGCTATATGACTCTGTTTGTGGCTCCTATTCCCCCAGATTCCAGGAAGCAGAAACAGATTAGAAGGAGGAAGACATGCACACCAGCAGGTTCAAATGCCGTCACTAGGAGCTCACCAGAGATTGCAGTGGCTGGTCTTCACAGTACAACTGGTAATGGGAATCCGGTAAGATATTGGAACTGCCTGTTGCCTATTAATCTATTGTCACATCCTAGAAACATAAGAATTGCTGGATGACAAAAACCATAGTCCCGCATTCTCACTTTCTAATACTCTCATGGTCACATGATACTATGATAACGAATCATTGATTAATCACAGTGATCAGTCTCTGTCAGTGACTGTATGACAGACCCAGAGATGCTGTGAGGACAACCTTCAGTACAAGAGTTTTTCGGGAATGCTAAGTCCAAACTCGCTTATTCTTCCCAAACTCCACTTCCTGTACATTACGTCTTAAATTATTCATGTACTGGATTCCCAAGGCGTTATTTCTGGAAATAAATCTATCCACTTTTGAAACAATCACAGAAAATGCTGGCAAAACTCAACAGTTCTGGCATCATCTGTGGAGAGAGAAGCAGTTAACCTTTCCAGTCTGATATGACTCTCGTTCAGATTTCCAGCGTCTGCAGGATTGCACTTTTATCCAGTTTTGTGTTTAACACTGTCTGCTTCCACCATCATTGAGGCTGTGCTATGGATTGACCTCCTGTACTCTTTACTGTTCCTTTTTCCAATGAAGGAGAAGGAAGTGGTGTCTGTTTTACTGTCCCACCTCACCAGTGCACTGCAACATATCGGATCCACATATGGAGCCACTTTCCGAACACGGCTGAATCCAGAACCTGAGCCTGTTGCAGATACGGGAGCCTCTTATTTGTAAGAATCACATTTCTTCTCTCGTTATTGCTGAGTTATATGCTACTACCTCTTTTCCCTTATGCATACACTTGTTAAGCAAAGGAAGAATCAAAGAACTTGCGTTTCTTTAGTGCCTTTCTCAACGTAAGAGCAAGAGTAGGCCATTCAACCTTTTGAGCCCAATCCACCATGCAACATGTTCCTAAGCTATTTACAGCGTAGTTTATCTTGAGTCAGTTGCTGTTGTCATTTTGGGTACAAAGCCAGTTTGCACACAGCCAGTGCTAATAAACAATAGTGAGACAATTATCAGACCATCTTCTTTTTCATATTATTGGTTATAGAGTTATATAGCACGGAAACAGACCCTTTGGTCCAACCAGTCCATGCCAACCATAATCCCAAATTAAACTAGTCCCACCTGCCCGCACTTGGCCCATATCCCTGTAAACATTTCTTATTAATGTTCTTATCTAAATGTCTTTTAAACGTTGGATCTGTACTAGCGTCCACCACTTCTCTGGAAGCTCATTCCACACACAAACCACTCTCTGTGTAAAAAAGTTGCCCTTTGTGTCTTTTTTAAATCTTTTTCCTCTCAACTTAAAAATATGCCCCTAGTTTTGAAATCCCCCCATCCCTAGGGAATAGGCACCTATCATTCACCTTATCTATATCCCGCATGATTTTATAAACACCTATACGGTCACCTCCCAATCTCAGTCCTAGCCTATCCAGCCTCTCCTTATAGCTCAAACCCTCCATTCCCAGCAACATCCTGGTAAATCTCTTCTGAACCCTCTCCAGCTTAATAATATCCTTCCTATAACAGAGAGACCAGAACTGGACACAGAATCCAGTATCCACCAATGTCCTGAGCAACAGGGGGAAGATCAGTATTGGCAGCCATGCCTTCAGCTGCCTGGTGATCATGGGATCTTGTATTCCACCTGGGAGAGCTGTTCAGTGTCACATTCAAAGACAGCAGGTCTCACAAGTGCAGTAAACCCTCCTTACTGGACTGAGGTTCATACATTGATTTTGTCCTGTATTCCCTTGAGTGGGGAGTTGAACCCACAACTCCTGAAACTAAGAAGTGAGAATGCTGCCCAGTAAAGCCACAACTGCAATGACTCATATTTATATAGCACCTATAACCCAGTAAATCTAGTGTTTCACAGCAGTTACATAAAGAGATAGTTGGACGTTTGGAAGATGTAAATTTCAGAAATATATGCACGATGCTTATGACCTAGGCATGGCCATCAGTGGTGAAGTGATGAAGATCAAAAGGCCAGATTTAGAGGAGTGCAGTGATAAAGCTGTATGAAAGATTACAGAGATAGTGAGGGAAGGAATCTATAGAGAATCTATATAAACAAACTGCCCTCACTTCAGCACAGTGACTGACTATTTCACCTCAAATTCTTTGGAGTAACTGCTGTAGGAGATAGAAAAAATGCCACTGATGTGTGTAAGCTGATTAAAGGATTTGATCAGGGTACATAAAGTTTACTTTCTCTGGTGGGGGCGTCCAAAACAAGGGCACATAATCTTCAAACAAGGGCCAAGTAGTTCAGGAGCGATGTCAGGAGGCAAAAGTTCACACAATGGGGAGTGGAAATCTGGAACTCTCTTCCCCCTCCTCTCCTAAAAAAATATCTTTCTACGTTGGAAACAAATTGTACATTTCAGAATTGGGCTTGATAGATTTTTGTTCTGCAAAATTTTGGATGTTTTGGAATCGAGGTTAGATGGGGTTAAGGTGCCAATCAACCACAACATAATGAGATAGCAGAATACGCTATAGCTGGAATCTTTTCTGATCCTATAATCCTACAGTTGCACTCCTCTAATTCAGGCCTTGTGAAATCGTCACATTTCATCACCTCCCTGGCAGCTGTGCCTTCAGTTGTCTCGGTCTTACTTCAATTTCCTTCTTTAAAATGTTTCTGAAAACTCCCTCTTCCATCTGACCTATCTCTCTGCATAACTGCTGCAAAGCAGCTTGGCGTGTTTTGTTAGGTTAAAGGTCCTATACAAACGCATCTTGCTGTCATGGGCCGAATGCTTGCATTCTATTACTGTGTAAGTGCACAGTTCCACGTTGGATATTTCCCGAATACACTGCATCATTAGAGAAATGGCACTTGTCATTTTTTATTAGGCAACATGGTGCAAGGTCAGGAGCTCCTTGACTGTGAGTAAATTTTATTGGTTAAGTTGGTGGTCTTTGTTTCCGTGAGGTTGAACTTAGCTCCAGTAGGAGTTATCTGCAGTTCCTACTATCTCTGGAGTTCTTTAACGTCTGCATTGGTGTGTGTCCTAGTAGCAGGTTGGAGTCGGAAAGCACAGAGGCCACGAGCGACCTGCAAGAGGATGGCATCTCCAGTCTTGGGATCCGCGTTGTACATCACCCAGGGTTTACGCTTAAGAAAGATCGAGCCTGGAGATACAAAAAGTCAGGTGGGGAAAGGCCTTTCTTCTTTCCTTTCCACCGCCCCCCACCCCACTGCAAAGGAAATGACTCAGGGTGATTGACACCTGTCATTGGGTTGTATCACTCTGAGTTGATGCACTGTGATATCTTTCAGGTAGACCAGCAAAGTGTGTTGCACCACACACATGCTACCCTCAAGGTGTGAATGTTGCTGTTCAGCATTGAATTATTTGTTGTACTGTAATATTGGCAGGGGGAGGTGTACAGAATTACATGGAATTTACATCACAGAAACAAGCCATTTGGCCCAACCAGTCTATGCTAGCACTTATGCTGTATGTAAGCCTGCTCCAACTTATTTCGTGTCAGCGTAGTTTATCCTTTTATTCCTTTTCTGTTTGTCCAGCTTCCCTTTGAAACCATTCACACTTCTCATCTCAACCATACCATGGTTCTCTGCATTGTCCCTTCCCCACTCACTACACATGGTGTTGTCTGTTAATTTGACATTTACATGCTGAAGATGACCCTGTGCAAATAAATAGGCTCCACAGAGCTATTATAGTCACAACATATATCAGGCTAGTTTCTGTACCATAAGTTTTACGTGGACTATATTTAGTTAAGTATCGTGGAAATCTACATTTAAAAAAATTTAATATTATTTTAATATTATTCCTCCTGTATAATCATGTAACAGAAGGCAAATATTTTCTAGTGTTAAACTATATGGTTCAAGAAAGACCTCAATTCAATTCTTGGTCTCCACTGAGATGGCTGTTTTCAACCAAAGTGTGCAGTCAGAAGATTTCATTTGACTTCAAAGTCTCTGGGCTAGGTGTTTTACCATCTAATAATTCCAACAGCAAATGATGTGTTTGGTGCCTTCTGGTGAGGGTGAAATTAAGTGCTCTCTGTGGTCAAATAGATCACCAACATTCACTTCCTTGGTTCTCACACAAAGTCTGACATCTTCGTTAAGGATCTGGACTATGACCATGCAGTTGCAGACAAGTAGAAATCACCCTCTACAGGAAAAAAAAGAGGGGAGGGCATTGCATGTAAGTAAAGAGATGGCTTCTGATGAGTCAGTTGCTGATGTATGTTTTGCGTTTCTCCTTGCAGTGTCTGCCAGCCTTCCGTCTTCATCACAGAGGGTACCATTTCACAGCATCTTGGGAGAAACTTTACCTTACAGAGATTGCTTATGCAGTGGTGGTCTGTCCAGCATAAGAGACAATGCAACCCCATCTGTGGAGTCCCATGACGTTAAAAAGACAAACAAAGGATTGCATTTATTGGATCGATATATGTTGTCACCAGCATCCTTGGAACTTTTGAGACCAGGCTTGCTGAGGAACATGAGCAGCCTAGAGGAAACTGAAACTTTGGGGATCTCTAGAATGAGAAACACAGAACTAAGGACAGAGACAGGTAGTCAGCCAGTGACTAAAGACTTCAGAACCCCAGTTTTCTCCCCAGATAAGGATTTGGGAATGAAGAGAAAACTGGATCTGTTGGACGTGGAGCTCAACTGTCTATCTCAGAGAAGCAGTGGGCTTGGTGAAATTGCAAATCCTAGCACAGATCAAAAATCGTCAGACTCTCCTTTAAAAAGGCTAGTGGGTGATTCCCAGAGCTCTCAATGCTCTGAAGGAGCCTACTGGGGCCTGGTTCTTGGGAATGGCAGTGGTATTTCAAATGGTCAACAAAGACCATTGAATGGAGGTGGGTGCTCCAACTCAGGGAACCAATCAAGTTCATCAAGTGTGTCTCAAACATGTCCGGAAAAGGCTGAATCCAGCTCTGTCCCTTGCCAGCAGAACGTTACAAATCGGATTACTTGTTCCGACGGTCGATTGGGGCCCGATACGTATGACCCATTCAGTCCAACTGATGAGGAGAACGTCAATGGAGAGTTTATGGGTGGTGACTTTTCCCCAAAAGACAGGATTGAATTGGATGACGGTGAGGAGGAAGCTGAGGAAGAGGAAGAGGATGAGGAGAAATACGACCCTTTTGATCCCACAGGGTCCATTGCAAGTTCTAACAATTTAAGCCCATTAGGAGATGATTCAGAAGGTGAGCTGAAAATTGTTAGCGATGCGGGACTAACTGAAGAAGAGGATTGTGAGAGTCCTGAGTACGAAGAAGATCAGTCACCAGAATCAACAACGTGTGCTCTGTCAGACGTGGAACTGCAGATTGACTGTGGGAATGTGGTCAAATCCAGTCTAGAACCTGACCTCTACAGCTCCCCCGAGTACAGAGATTTGGAATCTGAACTCCAGACAGGTTTTGCAGAAGGGTTAAGCTGTGCGATCAAAAATGAATTTGAAAGTGACTCCAAACTGCAGATCAATGTTCAGCTGGACTCTGTCTCTCAACAAGAAATTGAATCTATTGACTCAGAAAATGATATTCAGTCTCAAAACGAACTGGCTAGAGAGGGAACTAGCGATGCAATGTTTGAAGATGAGGAGCCATTGCTGTCACCAGTTGGAATTGATTATAGTTTAATGCAGAGTCCGGATCCCAATTTACAAATTGAGAATGAAACATTGAAGCTTTCCTTGAAATCGACGCAGAAAGAAGTCTTAGTCTGCTCCTTGCAGGAGGGAGACCTTTGGAAAAATGAACACACAAAAGAACTGGGTCTTGAAGCAAAGACCATTTCTGGCCCCTTGGAAACAGCTAAACAAGAAACAGGTGCAGATTCACTCGGTGCCCCCAGGTATCAGAAAAACTCTGAAAGGACCATCTCTGAGCCACTGGAATCGCTGGAATCCCAGAGCCGGTTAAAGGCAAAATCAGGCTCAAGCAGCCGTGTCACATCCAAGTCTGCATCGAGGCAGCGGTCAAGAACTGAAGTGGTTCGGAAGGATAAATCTGATTCCAAAGTGCATTCAAAGGCGGAGCACAAAAGTAAGTCTGCTTCTGCCTCCAGGTATCACCACAAATCCCGCCGTACTGTTGAAAGAAAAGACAACCTTGTTTTCACGGTGAATGTTTCCAAATGGCCAGAGGATGCACGTAAATACGAAGACTCTGAAATCGAAGAAGGCGAGATCGTGCAGCAAGATGAAGAGAACTTCAGCCCTGCTAGAACCTTTCGCAGTCGCGGACGAATCTTTGAGCGTCTGAGGGGAGTTGAAGGAGATGATTTTATATCTCTGCACGCCGATTCTGATGAAGGGGCACTGCAGATAGATCTGGGCGAGAACTCAGCAGACGGAGGGCGCAAGAAAGTGGATCAGCGAAGAAAAGTGACAAACCAGCAGAGGGAGAGGTATGTGAAACAGTCCAGGTCGCCAGCAGAGTCCAAGACCCAGTCTGGGTCGCATTCAGAATCCAGCTCCCGCAGCCGGAAAAAGCACAAGAGAGAGCACAAAAAGGCTCGGTCAAAAGATCGAAAACGATCCAGGTCCCATTCGAGGGAACGTAAAAGATCCTCATCTAGAAACAGGTTGCGAATCCATCGCAAAAAATCCAGATCCAGATCCAGATCCTGGGAGCGAAGGAGGTCAAATTCCAGGTCACGCCATAAGGTATCTCGGTCTCGGACACGTTCTAGAGAGCATCGTAGATCGAGATCGTGGTCACCGTCCAACAGCACTAGCGTATCAGCGATCGGGTCTCTGAGGGCTTCAGCTGAGAGGTGGAAAAGCCGTGTGCCCCAGTCAAAGGAGAGCGGGTCATTCCATCGTTCCCGGTCAAGCAGCAAGTCAAGAAAGGAAAGGAGGAAGAAAGAGAAACACCGGGAACCGGAAGCAGTGAAACGCCGGAGGCAGTCCAGGTCCAGATCCAAAGAGCGGTCACAGAGGGAGAAGAGAGCACTTAGCCCTTCTCCAAGAAGATCAAAAGAAAGGAACGAGAAAGAGAAGGACAGAAGTAGAGAGAGAAACCCCCCAAGTGAAAAGAAACACGAGAAGACTGCAAAAGGAAGGCGGGACAGCAGAATTGTGGTTCCCCCCTCCATTCAAGAACTAAACGATGATGATATCTTAATTAAAGCTCGCTCAATTACCAGGACCATTACTGTGAATCCAGGTGAGTCTTTAGAAGACCAAGAAGATCCAATGGAGGTGGCAGCTCTGTCTCCAAACCGGGAAGCCATGTACGACTCAGACGAGTTGGGCTTTGAGAACAGTTTCTCTGATGTTGAGGCTGGGGACCACGTGCAGGAGAGCAGGGTTCCTGGAAAGGGGCAAGGGAGCAAGAACGAGAGGCGCAGCAGTCACGAAAAAAGCCATCGAACAGGAGACCCTGGTACAAAACTCCTCAAAGTCAAAGACCGAAAGCGAGCTCATGCAGATGAGAAGTCGGGCAAGGAGAAGCGAAGGAAAAAGCTGACTGACGGGCAAAAGGGGACAACAGGGTCGGATAGCTTGAAGGCAGAGAAGAAGGGGAAAGAGCATTTGATTGGCGGCCAGTCTGGGAAAAAGGTCAAATCTGTGCCCAAGGAAAGCAAACAGGTGCCGAGGAAAGTGAAGCTCCAATCCAAAGTAGCTGTTCTAATCCGAGACGGGGTGAGTTGCGCTGCCTCAATGAAGGATGACCGTGGGAAAGGGGGAGGCTTGATTGGCGTGAAATTCAGCCGCGATAGGGAGAGCAGATCGCCATTCATGAAGACCGAGGACCAGATCCATGACTCAAAGCCTGGCCGGCACCGAATTGACAGCTCGGAGAGCAAAGGCATGGCCTCGCGAGCGCCAAAGGGAAAGGCCGTGACCAAGCCCCGTTCCACGGCCAAGAAAACAAAAGCAGCTGGCACCAAGGTGAAGGGCTCCGGGAAGAAGAAGAAGGAAGCCAAGCCGAAAACGGCACTGAAGAAGGCAGCGACTCTCAGTGGCAGCAGTAGCAGCAGCAAAGAGTCCAGTCCCTTCAGGATCAAGGAAGAGCTGTCGTGGTCTTCGTCAGAGAAGTCTGACGACAAGGTCAACCTCCCGAGCCCGACAAAGGACACGGTGGAGCAGGGGCTGTCTCCCCTCTCTCAGATCTCAGAGAGTGTCCCCCAGCCCTTGGAGGCTGCCTTCACACCAAAGGAGCCAACTGTCCACCAGCCCCCTCCCCCACCCCCTCCGCAGCAACAGAAGGACTATCACGAGCACAGCGACACTTCGAAGGTCAATGGAGACAAGCCGAGAGCACCGAGCAAACCATTGTCGTGGGATCTCCAAACCGGTGGAGGAATGTTAGCACGTAAGTGATCTTTGCATAGTCTAGGTGAGGAGTCCTAATGAAGTCTGTCTTTGACCATGTGCCACACAAAACCAAGCTGAATGATCCTGTGTTTCAGACTGACGTGCAAGCATTTCTGGTTGAACTGAAAATGAATCCAGTGTTAGAAAAGGAACCATTCTTAAGATCAGTGGTTTTTTTTCATTCCTCTCACTGATGTCTCCTCAAGGTATTATTTCAGCCTGGCATGAGGTTTAACCCGCCAAAGGTGGTGTCTGATGTCTCCATCGAGTGATTGTTTTTGGGAAAGTCTCCCAGTCAGATTTCTTTGGGTTTGTCTCACTCAGTTGCAATGCTTTGTTTGCATGTGCCTGGGTAGGCCTCATCTCCTGTTGCATGCAAGTTATCTTCTGGACATCTCACTTTAGTGGCAGTCAGAAGCATTGAGTTAAAAGGACTCCAAAGACCAGGCACATTGGCAGGAAGTCATGGACGTGAGTGTGGGAGGCAACTGTACTGGCCGTGGCCAGTACCTGCAGAGTGTACATCAGTGAGCTGGACAATTCCATCCGTATCTGGTCAGGTAGAGCTCCAAGATAGAGCAATGGACCATTGAGATGGATTGTTATCTGTAGGTTGTATCACAGTTGATATTTTATTTTCCCAAGATCAGTTCATTCTGCAAATTGCTAATAACATGGCATTTGTGGGTTTTTTTTGATGCCTACGTTTGTATTTGCAGGTCACTTGGCATGAGAAATTAAACACTCCCCTTTGGGAGGGGAAAGAGATAGGACGATCAACATGCTGACACACACACACACACACACACACACACAATGGACTGAATGGTCACTTTTTTTAATATAAAATCAAATGGAGGTCAGAGACGGGAAGCACCTTTATTTTAATTAACCTGTTTGGGCATTGTCCATTCCTGAGGTGGGACTTGAATCTGGACCCTCTGGTCCAAAGATCACTGTGCCACAAGACCCTGATGTGTGTGTGTGTTATGTACAATAATAAACAGCCTGATTTTTTAACTGTTGAGACATATGTTGAGCAGAGCTACAACATGTGAGATGAATGTCTAACTTGAGGAGCCACTTCCAACATTGATCACCATACTGACTTGTGCCTCCTGCTGCCACCACCAGAAGAAATTTATATTCACTTGTTTAATTGCTCAGAATAATAGAAGAAAGTAGTGCAGAAGGTGGCCATTTGGCCCATTGTGCTAGGTTGGCTTTTTGGTAGAGATATCAAGTTCGTCCTACTTCATATGCCCTTTCCTCAGCAATTTCTTCTCCCTTCAAGTATTTAACCAGTTACCTTTTGAGCCAAGGTTATCCTTTGTCTCTCTATCTCTGCTCAGTGCAGCCCCACTGGGAATTCCAGTCTAGGGAAATGGGGCAAGGAAAAAGTGGTCAAACTTTGCCCAAATCCCTGCATGCTGTGGAGAGCAGCCAGAGTACGTGTGAAAGTTCTGTTGCCCCAGTTATGTATTGCCTGCAGTCTCTGCCGATAGTCCTGCTGTTGGTTATTCAGTTCTGAGACTGCCATTTGTGCCTTGAACAGTATAATTTTGGAACATGATCCTTGTGTTTTGGTTCTTAGTTACTGCACTGCTGTTCAAGATGGAGGAAGCCAATCGAGCAAAGGCCCAGGATTCTATTCAAGCAATCACCCAGGTAATGTCGCTGTAACTGACAGCTCCAAATATTTTGCATCCAGGTTCTCTGATGAGTGACACAGCAGTTAATTCTGAATAAAGTTTTTTTTCTTATTATCTCATGGGATGTGCACATCATTGGCAAAAGCCAGCATTTGTCATCCATCCCTAAGTGCTCTTTTAACTGAGTGGCTAGCTTGGCTATTTCAGAAGGGATTAAAAGAGTCAACCACATTGTCGTGGGTCTGAAATCACATGTAGGCCAGACCCAGTAAGGACAGCAGATTTTCCTCCCTAAAGCACATTATGTTTTGCAAGTTTCTATAACAATCAATCATAGCTTCATGGTCACCATGACTGAGACTAGCATTAAATTCCAGATTTATGAATTGGATTTAAATTCCGTCAGCTGCTATGTTGGGATTTGAACCACAGCCCTCCAGAACAATAGGCTGGGCCTCTGGATAACCAGTCGGGGGCATTACCACTCTTACATCTGCATAAATACCCATACACTGCTACTGCATCTTTCTTTAGTTAAGGCCACAAGCCTTAGTGAAGCAATTGACTGGGAATTTTCACGATGTGTGTGTTGTCTACTGAAGGGTCAGTGCCTCCTCACTGCTCTGAGGAACATTTCAAGAGCCATTTCCCTGGAAAAAGAATCTGATAATGTACCTAAATTGCACTTGATAGTATGATGATGGTGTTACAATTCACTCTGGGAGTCCTCAAGTTGCTATGGCAGCTTGCACCTTTTCCTGCTGTGCATCATGAGGCTCCAATTTTCTCTCCGTCATCCCAGCTGACCAGGAATCTGCACCGTTCATATCCCCCAGCCATTGGTGTGTGTTGGAATGATTGATAAATCAACTTATCTGGTCGTGTTATGAATTCACCTTCATATTCTAGATTTGGGCCTTGAATCCAGGCTGCCTCAGAGGCAGGAACTCTACAGGACTTCCACTGTTGATACAGAGCAGCAAATGCCAATGCAGATCCTCTGCAAGAAAGAGCAGAGGTTTGGCATCCTGCCCCATGGGCTCAGTTTGTGGTGTTTTTCTGTGATCATGGACCCATCAGTTTTTACAGTTGCTGATGAAGATAGTGGCTGTAATGTATTCAAAGCAGCAATAAGAATTAGATGATTTTGAGGCATGTTGACGTGAACTTTTAGTTTTGTTTGTTGTTAATACGTTAAATTTGCAGGGTTTGGGTGAAACGTGGAGGGCTGGTGAGGGGCCGATAGAGCAATGCTTTCCAAGCCAGCACAAGCGAGCGGGGCATATGGCCTTTTGTGGTATGTGATTGTCTGAATTGTGCCTCGTAACGACTCTGAGTATTGTGACGTTGCAATCTGTGAGCTCTTGTGTTGAAGAAACCTCAATAGTCTACGAGGCACGCACCAATCCTTTCTAACTGCTCTGTTGCCCTATAGATTCTCAGCCAGACTAAACCCCCCGTACCACCAGTGTCGACCAGCCTCTCTTCCCACCTTCCTGCCACCCAGCCGGCGCCCAGGTTTCTCCGCCAAGGCTCCTTGTCAATGTTGGGCTGCTCAGCAGGGCTGCCTACACTGTCAGTTTCTACAGTCCAGCCCCCGACTACCAGTTCCGCGAAGCTGTACAGCACGTTGGAGAGCACAGAGCCCAGCAAGGTGGAAGGGACCACCAGCACTGACAGCAATATGGACAGCGACAGGGTAAGACTTTTGCATGACCTCGATGAAATACCCCATGTTTGGCCCATGTACGAAGAATGCTATTTCTTATTTTTGATACAAGCACAGGTGAGGTGGGGGATGGTTGAGCGGATAGGTAGATGGTACTGGTCAACCTCATACCTTCAACCTACAGTTACTACTCTCCTGTAAGGGCATTGGCATAACAGCAGGCAAGGGCAATTTCATGAAAAACGCTGCAACGCTTCACCCCAAACAAGCTTTACTTGTGAGGCATCACCAGACACACTGAATTAGCCCCTCTCCTTCACCCAAATGAGCACACTGTTTTGACACAGCATTTAATCAACAACTCGTAAGACCATATGAAACTGGAGGTGTAAGTTAAATGCTCCCTTGAGCGTTTTCCACCATTAAATATCACAACAGATCATCACCCTCATCTCCAGTCTACCCTGCTATTCCCATAGCTCTTGATTTTCCTAGGCCCAAAAAACACACTCTCTCTCTCTGTCTTTCTCTCATGGATGTTCTTAACCACATGCACAGCTGCCTTGAGCACAGAATGGCAAAGGTTCATAACTTTCTGCATGGAGAAATTTCTCTTGATCTCAGTCCTGAAGAGCCTAAGCCCTTATCCTGAGATGGGGGTCTAGCCAGGGGCAAAAAACTTCTCATGATCTACCCTGACAATCCCTCTTAATAATTCAACAAGATTAACTCTCATTCTTCAAACTGCTGCAGACTATAAGATTATTCTACTCTTTTCTCTCTCATTGTTGGCCCCTTTATTCCCTTTCTTCTATCCCACTCCCCACTCTTTATCTTTCCCTCTATCATTCACCTTCCGTTCCTGTTTATCATCTGCAGCTCATTGATTTCCTTATCCACACTGAATCTTTCCCACAAGGCGGTTTTGGTTAAAAGCAATGGATAGGCTTTCTACTTTGTCTTTTTCCTCCCAAATCATACAGCACAGGCTGTTCAGCCCATCGTGTCTGTACTGCGACAAATACACTATTCCCTACACTGGTCCCACTTTCCCACACTAGGCCGACAGCCTTGAATGTTATGACCCTTCAAGTGCTGATGAGCCTCAGCTACCCTCCCAGGCAGTACATTCCAGACCCCCAGCTCTCTATGGGTGACAAATCTTTTCCTCAAATCCCCTCGAAACCCCTGGCTTTTCACTTTAAAAGTGGGCCCTTTTGTTCTGGACCATTCGACTGAGGGGAACAGCTGCTTCCTATCCACCCTGTCCATGCCCCTTATCATCTTACACACCTCTTTGAGAATCCCCTGTCTCCCTCCAATCTTCTCTGCTCCAAAGAAAACAATCTGAGCTTCTTCAGCCTCTCTTCATCACTGAAATGCTCCATTCAGACAATAAATCTCCTCTGCACCCCATCCAGTACAAGTTTTTTTTAACGGATCGATGATGTATATAGTGTTATAAAATATGCCCGTGCTTAACCAGTCTGTGCTCGTTCAGAGAAGGGTTGCCCAGTTAGGGCTGAGCTATTCGGGCAAACTAAGCAAGATGCTTCCCTGAGAGAGGATGCATGCTGATCGTGTTTCTCCTCTGGTCGCAGTACCTGAAGAAGCTGCACACGCAGGAGCGTGCAGTGGAGGAGGTGAAACTGGCCATCAAACCCTTCTATCAGAAAAAGGAGATCAACAAGGATGATTACAAAGATATTCTCCGCAAAGCAGTACACAAGGTAAGCACTTCACAACTGTTAATGGACATTTTCTGCAACGACACAAAATGGTGAGATTTATAACACCCTTCCCCAACTCAATCCAAAATTTATCAGTCAGTAATTCCCTTTCTCTTGGTCTAAGTGTTAGAACTGAAGCAGAATAAAAATAACTGAAAACAAAAATTGCTGGCGATCAGTGGGTTAGGCAGCATCTATAGATGTGCTGTGATCACGAGCATTTTTTTGTTTTCAGTACAGGTTGTAGCATCTGCAGTAATTTACTCCTATAGAATAAAAATAAACTTTATTGGATCCTAGTTTCCAAAGGGCCCCACCTGCCAGAGCCCCACCTGTGCGATTTATAGTTTTCGCCTTCTGAATATGACTGGTCTCTGAAGAAAGTCATCACCTTTTCATTAGGGAGGCCAGCATTTATTGCAGTTCCAAGTTGCCTCTTGAGAAGTTGGTGGTGAGGCACCTTCTTGAACCGCCGCAGTCCACACACTGTGGTGAGACCCGCAGTGCAGGTAAGGAGGTAGTCCCAGGATTCAGACCCAGTGACAGTGAAGGAGCAATTGACATTGGTTGTAGCTCGAGCTGATGTAATAAGAGTTATTAATGGTGAATATACTCTCAAGACTCGCTCTTCTGCCAAACGTGGCAAGAATTTTGTGATAGGGAACTCCTAAATTGGTGCGGGTTTGTAATTTTCAGTCACCCCCTGACGATGAAAGAGGGTAATGTTCATACACAGAAGGAATTGACAGCAGAGACTAGGCAAACCAATACAAAACATGAAAAGTAGGAACTGGAGAAGAGTAGCCAGCCCCACTGCATTCTTAATCAAGATCAAGACTGATCCACCTCAGCTTCACTTTGCCATAACCCTTAATTCTCTTTCTGCCCAAAATTCCAACCCTTATATTTACAATTTATTAGCGGCCTGAGCATTCCCAGCTCTCTGCAGTAGAAATTCACAAGTCTTAGGCAAGGAGGAGGTTCTTCACTTTCAATGCTGACTCCATATTTTACGACTTGTCCCCTTAACCATTATGTCTGTATCCTTCTGCTCCATCACTTACTGATGGGCCCCTTAATCGCACAGGGAAGTTAAGGTGCCATCTGCTGCAGAAGGGGAGCCCAGGGTTATTATGTGACCCTGCTACAGTTTTTTTATTTGTTTGTATGATAGTGTCATTGGCAAGGTCAGCGTTTGTTCCCCATCCATTTTTGCCCTTGAAACAGTGGTTGCCCTTTGAACTGCTACAATCCATGTGCTGTAGTTAGACCCACAATGCTGCTAAGAAAGAAGTTCCAGGATTTTGAACCAGTGACCGTGAACGAATAGCAATATAGTTTGAAGTCAGAATGTTGTCCATGGGGAACTTGCTGGTAGCAGTGTCTCTGTCCTAAGTGGTAAAAATTTGGTACAAGAAGGACCAATGATGAGTTGCAGCAGTGCATCTTGTAGATGGTACACTCTTCTGCCACTTTGAATTGGAGATGTAGAGAGTTTAAGATGGTCTACTGAGCAAATGGTCTGCTTTGTTCTAGAGATATAGAAACATGGAAAATATTAGCAGGAGTAGGATATTCGGCACTTTGAGCCTGCTCCATCATTCAATACTATCATGGCTGATCATCCAACTCGGTCCCCTGTTCCCACTTTCTCCCCATATCCTTTGATCCCTTTAGCCCTAAGAGCTGTATCTAACTCCTTCTTGAAAACATTCAATGTTTTGGCCTCAATTGCTTCCTGTGACAGAGAATTCCACAGGCTCACCACTGCCTGGGTGAAGACAATTTTCCACATCTCAATCCTAAAAGGTTTCCCTCTTAAGACTGTAACCCCTTGTTCTGGATTCCCCAGCTAACAGAAACATCCTTGCTACATCTACCCTGTCTAATTCTGTTTGAATTCTTATAGGTTTCTATGAGAACCCCCTCGTTCATCTTCTAAACTGGAGTGAATATAGCCCTAACTGATCCAGTCTCTCCATTCATCCACCACCCCTATCCCAGGAATCAGGCTGGTAAACTTTCAATGCACTCCCTGCGTAGCCAGAACCACCACCTTCATATAAGGAGACCAAAACTGCACACAGTACTCCTGGTGTTGTCTCACCAATGCCCTGTACGTTTGCAGCAAGTCATTACTCGTGAATCCTCTAGCTGTGAAGATCACCATAACCATTTTGTGGCTTCACCACCTGCTGCATCTACTTTCAGCAGCTGGTGTACAAGGACACCCAGGTCTCGTGGTACTTTCCCCTTACTCAATCTATCACCATTCAGATAATAATCTCCCTGTCTGTTTTGCTACCAAAATGGATAACCTCACATTCATCCACATCATACTACATCTGCTATGTATTTGCCCACTGAACTTGGCCAAATCCCACGACAGCCCAGTTCTTTGAGAGTTCATAGCGTTGTACACATTCAGACAAGTTTGCAATGTTCCACCATACTCCTGACTTATGCCTAGTGGTGAACAGGCTTTTGGAGTCGAGGGTTACTGTGCACAATTTCCACTCTCTGACCTGTTCTTGTAGCCACAGTATTTAATGCAAGTGCTGTCCAGGTCTTATTACATACCTAAGGCATCCACCACCAGCCCAAACTCATTTCACCTCTCTCCGCTACAGATCTGCCACAGTAAAAGTGGCGAAATCAACCCTGTCAAAGTTGCCAACTTGGTGAAAGCGTATGTGGAGAAATACAAGTATGCACGAAGGCACAGCAAGAGACCAGAGGAAGGAGGACGCCAGAGCAATGGGAAGGAGGCTGGGAAGTTAGACAAACATGGAAAAGCGGCAGCACAGACGTAAACAGGAACGAGAGACAGTTTTTATTATTTACCAGAATTCAATAATTTTGCGCACCTCCTTTTATTTTCATTTTAATAAGTGTGAAGACTTTTTTTTAAAAAAGAAAACTTTAGTAAGTCATTCTGACGTACCTGGGTTTATCTCATTGTGGCAGTGCCTAATGATCCTGAATTAGATGTAAGAAACTTGGGACACTTTTAATGAAATGCTGAGGGGTGGGGAGGGAGGGAGGGGGCGGAATATTCTTAGAAAGTAAAGGACAAAACAAGAACCTTTTGAGAACTGTTTACTGTATCTCCTGATGGCTGTATATAAGATAGGAGCCACTGGCAAGCTTTCTCATCTTCTCTCGTGTCCTGTTGATTTTTATTTGTTTTTCTCTTCTTCCTCCTCCTCTTTCCTTCTTCCCTTCCCTCCCTCCCATTTTCTTCATGCATGAAGTTTTTTTGTAGGTCAGTGAATTCCATACAGCTGCACTGTCTTTTAAATGGTAATAAACAATATTACGCAGTCAGCCATTCTGAGAGAAGGCGATGTATCAGAGAGAAATGATTTTTCCTGTTGATGTCTATGTTATTCTTTACCCTTTTGGAAAAAAAATGGTATATATATATACATGTATAGTACAATGTTGGAAAATGGCAGGGGTGAATTGATTAAGTATTTTCATTTGCGCATTTTAACTAAGGAAATAATGAGGATTGTACTGGTGAGCACTGTCTCAAGGTTGCAGTCTCTGGGCACTTTTATGTTCACCATCCACCTGATACTGGAGTTAGTGGCCCTTGAGGCATCTGTGGCCAAATATTTTCATCCACTGCGAATCACTGTTGTAAAGTGAGTGTTGGTTCTTGGAGAATGAGGCTGTTTTATTCTGTATTAGGGACTGTCTAATTACACATGTCCATTTTTGTTATAGCACCACGCCACTGTCTTTCTCCCCCAGAGCCATTTGTGAGTGTCAGGCATTAGGCACAAAGTCCACAGAAGAGATGGGAAAACTTGTTTAGACTCTCTGGTGAACTCTGCGGCCCAGGGTTATGAGTCTCATCCCCAAGAGAGAATTGAGGAACGCTTGTGAAGAATGAAGGAATGCCTTTAGTTTGCAATTTCTTGCGATTACTTTTCCAACCAAAAAAAAAAGCAAAAGATTTTGAACCCAGATATTTTACTGTAAGCTCGGGCAATCAATTGGCTGTGACCACCCCCACCCCCTTGGGCTCTCTGGGTTTCTGAGAGGGAATTTAGGCAACACTGTTGTTTTAATTTTAGTGCTTTTAGTCAGTAAGAGTACACCATTCCCCTTCCCATCTCCACCACCACCCCCCCTTCTCAATCTGCTGCCAATCATGTTACAGAATACGGGATTAACTCAGGCAACTTGCCAGGCAACGCAACCCAGTTGCGCACCTCAAGGTTGAATTGCCACATCTGACTCTGTTGCTGTAATTTGCTTTTTAGTTTCTGCACAGGAAGAGTCTCTAGCTCAAAGGTGCAAAGAAGTGCAGTCGTCTTGTATGTGTGACCTGCTTTATATCATTTCTGGCAATGTGATAAGGGGCTGGGTTTAAGATTTAAGCTGGGGCTGTGTCCAGTACGTACTGTTATTTCAAGGAGTGGGTGGGGGGAGGGAGGTGATGAAGCTGGGGAGGAGAGGGAGGGTGGGCTGAGAGATTGTGTGGTGACAGTGCAACGTTACCAGCCTTTGTCTGACTGTCGTTTGGTGTCGTCTATATTTCTGGATGGATTTGCCAGTGTGAGTGTGTGTTGAAAGGTGGTTATTTGATGAATGAGACTGCGTGTGCGTGTGCGTGTGTGTGTGTGTGTGTGTGTGTGCGCGTGTGCGTGTGTGTGTGTCTGTGGAACCAAAGCAGGTTTCACTGACCCAAGGAGTATATATATATTGATATTTGGGGTTTTGCTGGCCTTTTTAAATACTAGATAATAAAGAATGCACATTTAAAAGGAGGCAGTAGGGTCCCCCTTGTGAAATTACAGTATCTCATCAAAAACAGTTTTTTTTAGTTAAGAGAAATAAGCTCACTGCCTCAAGAAAATTGGACAAACTGTTTTGTAAAACATCTAATTTATTTGGGCTGTTTATATTCGCAGTTGAGGGAGCCTGCCCTAATGTTTCCACACCTCCCACCCTGAATAAAAAGAAAACTATTAAACAGTATTAGCACCGCTGAAATGAGGAACACATTGATGTTAGGATTTGCTGAGCTGAAGGAGGTGAAATGTCTTCAGAGTTTTAACTGTTATCCTTGCTACACATCCCACATCCTTTCACCGATGTGACTGGCAGTATCTGATGTCACAGCACCAATGACTAAATAAATCACTGGGGAATCAGCGATGATGCTGCTTTGGATGAACTGGGCACCAAAGCATAGGTCAGTTGCCAAAGAGAAAAGGAATGGACAATTATTTTAAAAAACACCAATTCCCTCAACCTAGCATGGCTCTTGCTAAAATCAGGCAAAATGAAATTATTGTAAAAGTCTGAATCTCTGTCCAAAGAGAAGTAAATTCCAATTGAACAGTCATCCCCTCCCAGAAGTGATAATGCGCCTGTTATTGTTGGATTGGTGGGGAGGTGGTCAGTTTGTGTAGACAGCTCCTGTGCTCCATCAGCTGTGCTAATATTGTATGTATCTGCCTGTTATTGAGAATATTGTAAAAATAAAAGTCAGATTGTTACAGAACAGGAGTGCTTGTCTCTTTGAAAAACAGTAGGAGGCATGAGACAGCATCTTATTTCATTTAGTTCTCCTCCCTCTGCCTAGCCCGCGCTTATGGTTGTTCATTTTGGGCTAGCAACTAGGGCAGCAGTGTTGGCTTCACCAATGCTGAGCTAGTGAGAGGGGTGAGCGGAGCAGGTCCGCATAGGTAGACGTTTACTTCACTGCTGGGACCACTGCGCTCTAGTGTTGTGGCAAATTGTGAAGAACGAGTCTGAGATTGCTTTAAATGCCTGGAGGAAACTTAACTACAGCAGCAGGCTCTGCTTGACTGGTGTAGGGATGATGCATGTCTACCTTTGCTTCAGATGCGTGCTGTTAGCAGATCTGTCCCTAGAAGCACACTGCTTTGTGCGTTTGAAACTTCACCGTGTTCACAGGGAAATCACAGATTAAAGTAAATACACCATCAAAATCTACAGTCAGAAATTAAAAACTAGCTGCTTTGGCAGTTTTCACCTCTTGACATGGTGCCAGGGATTCAGCCAAACCCAATTCAGAAAAGGGTTTCCCATGGGAAGGTAGGCACGTCATTTACACAAATACGTCAACATTTCCACAACAGCAGCCTCTTCAGAATGGAGTTTGCCCTGTCCACAGTCACTGACTTGCTTTGGTTTTCAATTACTGGTACCTAGCCCCCTCTATTTCCTTCATTTCTTTTTTGATTTGTTCTGGAACGCTTTGCCTGTTCTTGGGCTTTTGACCTTTCTTTGTCATTTATTGCCCCTCCCATGGGCTTTCCTGACCCGTTGTTGGTAGCATGGTATGACCCAAGGGGCTTATTTCAGAGGGCCTGTTGTGAGTCAAGTACTGGAGTCAGGTTTAGGTCCAGGCTTTCTCACTTCCCGTCCTATCGCCACACATGGATCAGCAGGGCTTTTGCAACAATCCAACAATCTCACAATCACTTTTTTTAAACCATGGGCAGACTATTTTTCTTTCCAAATTTTTATCATTCTGGCCATTCACACATTCCCCCAACTCCCACCACCATGAGGTTCGAACCCTCATCCACTGGATTAATGCTTCATTTAGAGATGGTCCCTCCCTCTTGTCACCGCTGACTTGGCAATGGTAGTTGGAGGCAGGCTGCCCAAGGGGGAGACAATCTGCCTACTCGATATCCATGTGCTGCTCCAGTATGAACAGGAAGCTGGAGGAGGAGAGGGGATCGGAGAGCTGGAGGTTGATAGAATCACCATGCAGCGAGGAGGCTCCTACTCCATGTGCCAGTTCGTGCAACAGTTTGAAGGTTATGGGTGTCACCTGAATGAAGGGGAAGAAGAACCCATCAGTACAGAAGCTGGAATCTCCTGCCATCGTTAAAACACGTTGACTTCAATTGTAAGTCTCTTAACCACTGCTCCGGGGCAGCTCATTGCACCTTAGAAATGTCCCATGCCCACTCCATTTAAATAGCTCCAGTTTTCATTTATTATAGAATCCCTATAGTGTGGAAGCAGGCCCTTTGGCCCAACAAGTCCTCACCGACACTCAGAGCATCCCACCCAGACCCATCCACCTAATCTACACATCCCTGCACGCTACAGGCAATTTAGCATAGCCAATCCACCTAACCTGCACATCTTTGGACTTGCTGCCTAAGGCAGGAAAATGGAAGTTGAAGAACAGATCAGCCATGATCTAACTGAATGGCCTCTTCCCATTTCCACTGGTAGTTACAGGAGCACAACAGTTTGTATTGTAGGTTGCAAAGAGCAAACAAAATCGATATTGTGTGGGAATTTTCAATAGCTATATTTGAGGGAGCTCTTTCAGGCACCTACTGTCACTGATCTGTCGGACAGATCTTTCCCACCTGGCAGGCTGGACCCCTAGTTTAAGCATCTCAAGTCTCAGCTTGGGTAATGTGGAATGTCGAACACCAACAGGCCATTCACCCCAGCTACGCGGGGTCTGAAAGCCCCCTGTCAATGAGGAAGAGGGATTTCCCCTGAGTTTGAGGAATGGGATTTTGTGTTTGTGTGTGTGTGTGCGCGCGCGCATGTGTGTGTGTCCGGGGTAGGAGGGCGGGGAGGACCAGGATACGATCAGAAATGCCTCGGGTTCAGGGTGGAGTTTATGGGGCAGCAGGGGACGGGCTGAAGTCAAAGGGTGAAATCCTGGGTCACTGTCACGGGTTGGCCTTACCTGCACCATGATCATCTTCTTATTCCAGGTTCTATCGCCAGGGTCTGGCCACAGCTCCCCGAAACACAGCCAAATGGAATACTGTGGAGATCCACCCTCCGAGTTCAGAAAGGCACACATTTCTGTGGAGGAAGGATTTAGAATATTTACAGTGCTTTGACAACTCACTGGAGGAGGTGACAAACTGCAATAGCTGCCATTGTGCCAACAAACAGTAACAGAGCTAATACAGGTTATAATACCAGTGGCTGGTTCAGACTTCACCACGTAGTCTGTCTGTGTTCCTACACCTATCCCTCACTTCAACCTGTTCACCTGCCACTCGTCTCACTGCCCTTGCAAATGGACTCCTTAAAAATGTAAACAATTTTTTATTATTCTTTCATGGGATGTGGGCATCACTGGCAATGCCAGCATTTATTGCCTGTCCCTAAGTGCCCCTCAACTCATTGACTGACCTGGCTGTTTTCAGAGGGCAGTTAAGAGTCAAACACTTTTCTGTGGGTCTAGAGTCACGGAGACCTGCTTGGTCAGCTTCCCTAAAAGATGCTGATGAATCAAATGCAATTTTACAACAATTGATGCTCATCGTGACCAAAACTAGTTTTACATCCCAGTTTCTTTTCAAAATCATCGCAATTGTGTCCATTTTTTTTTTGACATCAGAAAGCACGACCTGGGGTCTGAAGTTTGACTTTTTGAAAGGGTAGTCATTGAGTGTATTTAAGACAGAGATAGATACGTTGATGAGTAAGGGGATCAGGGCTTACATGGAGAATGGAATTCAGAAATATCAGCCATGACTGAATGACAGAGCAGACTCAATGGGCCGAATGGACTAATTCTACTCATACCTTACAGTCCAAGTGTGAGTTGAATGGTGACGGGTGTGTGGAGCAGTCTGTATGTGACACTGAGATGTGTCTTATCACCTCCATCACCCACCTTGATGAAACTGAGATAGGTCGTACAGGACGGTGAGCTCCTTGCTGGAGATCTGTCGAGGTTCATTACTTCTCGGGTTCTCCATCATTGACCAGAAGGTCCTACAGCTGCCGAGTCTCTGCGCACAGATCTGATTATTGTTCACTTCCACAATCAGCCCTTGGCCCATCCCCTCCAACAGCCTGTTTGTGTACATGATTTGTTGCTGGTCACTCAAACAGGAGGCTGCTTCTGGGAACCGGAGGTCGTCCAGGTACGGGAATTTAGATTCTGATGTGTAACACAGTCGGAATCCATCAGGGTTCTTCACAGTCTGCTCCTTCACCCTCCTGCCACGATAATAGATTGTTACCTCAAACTGGGTTGCTGTGGAAACACAAACTTTGTGTGAATATTTAAATTTTCCATGTTCACTGCGATTCTTTGCATCCCAATCCTTCGATCAGTGTCTCATTTCACCTCCTCTGACCCCATAACCTTGTTAAAAAAAAGGTGTTTGTCACCATACCATTACCATCCTGCTAGTTACCATGGTGGCTCAGTGGTTAACACTGCTGCCTTACAGCGCCAGGGACCCGGGTTTGATTCCAGCCTGTGGGAATGCGGGAGCAGTGAGAGCGAGGACCAGGGGGCTGCCGGGAAGGTAAGTTAATCCTTTAAAAACTTACCTCGTGAATAGGCGGAGCGCACGCTGAGCAGGAGCAGACACGGGACGGCTGAGTAAGTGAGGTAATATATTTGGGCGCTTGCTTTACCTGAAACACTACTTAGGTAGTGTCTCCCACCCATCCTCCTCCTCTAACCAAAAAAAAAGGTTCTGAGCGCCAATTTGGTAAGGTTACTAGTTTTTTTATTCAGAATTCAGAACAGTGGGAATGGATGTTAGGGCAGTTGCATGCTCCTCCTGTAGAATGTGGGAGGTAAGGGTCACCACTAACGTCCCCACTGACTTCATCTGCGGGAAGTGCACCCAACTCCAGCTCCTCGGAAACCACGTTAGGGAACTGGAGCTGGCGCTGGATGAACTTTGGGTCATTCAGGAGGCTGAGGGGGTAATTGAGAGAAGTTACAGGGAGGTAGTCACACCTCAGGTACAGGAAAAAGGTAGATGGGTTACAGTCGGGGACGGAAAGGGAACAGGCAGACAGTGCAGGGATCCCCTGTGGCCGTTCCCCTCAGTAACAAGTATACTGTTTTGGATACTGTTGGGGGGGAGCGACTTACCAGGGGTAAGCCATGGGCTACAGGTCTCTGGCACAGAGTCTGTCCCTGTTGCTCAGAAGGGAAGGGGGGAGAGGAGGAGAGCATTAGTCATTGGGGCCTCCATAGTTAGGGGGACAGATAGGAGATTCTGTGGGAACGAGAGAGACTCGCGGTTGGTGTGTTGCCTCCCAGGTGCCAGGGTCCGTGATGTCTCGGATCGTGTTTTCGGGATCCTTAAGGGGGAGGGGGAGTAGCCCCAAGTCGTGGTCCACATAGGCACCAACGACATAGGTAGGAAAAGGGATGGGGACGTAAGACAGAAATTCAGGGAGCTAGGGTGGAAGCTTAGAGCTAGAACAAACAGAGTTGTTAACTCTGGTTTGTTACCCTTACCACGTGCTAGCGAGGCGAGGAATAGGGAGAGAGAGCAGTTGAACACGTGGCTACAGGGATGGTACAGAAGGGAGGGATTCAGATACCTGGATAATTGGGGCTCATTCTGGGGTACGTGGGACCTCTACAAACGGGATGGTCTACACCTGAACCAGACAGGTACCAATATCCTGGGGGGGAAATTTCCTAATGCTCTTCGGGAAGGTTTAAACTAATTCAGCAGGGGGGTGGGAACCTGAATTGTAGCTCCAGTGTACAGGAGGTTGAGAGTAGTGAGGTCATAAATAAGGTTTCAAGGTCGCAGGAGTGTACCGGCAGGCAGGAAGGTGGTTTGAAGTGTGTCTACTTCAATGCCAGGAGCATCCGGAATAAGGTGGGTGAACTTGCAGCATGGGTTGGTACCTGGGACTTCGATGTTGTGGCCATTTCAGAGACATGGATAGAGCAGGGACAGGAATGGTTGTTGCAGGTTCTGGGGTTTAGATGTTTCAGTACGATCAGGGAAGGTGTTAAAAGAGGGGGAGGTGTGGCATTGTTAGTCAAGGACAGTATTACAGTGGCAGAAAGGATGTTTGATAAGGACTCGTCTACTGAGGTAGTATGGGCTGAGGTTAGAAACAGTAAAGGAGAGGTCACCCTGTTGGGAGTTTTCTATAGGCCTCTGAAAAGTTCCAGAGATGTAGAGGAAAGGATTGCAAAGATGATTCTGGATAGGAGCGAAAGTAACAGGGTAGTTGTTATGGGGGACTTTAACTTTCCAAATATTGACTGGAAACGCTATAGTTCAAGTACTTTAGATGGGTCAGTTTTTGTCCAATGTGTGCAGGAGGGTTTTCTGACACAGTATGTAGATAGGCCAACAAGAGGCGAGGCCACATTGAATTTGGTACTGGGTAATGAACCAGGCCAGGTGTTAGATTTGGAGGTAGGAGAGCACTTTGGTGATGGTGACCACAATTCGGTTACGTTTACTTTAGCGATGGAAAGGGATCGGTATATACCGCAAGGCAAGAGTTATAGCTGGGGGAAAGGCAATTATGAGGCGATTAGGCAAGATTTAGGATGCATAGGATGGAGAAGGAAACTGCAGGGGCTGGGCACAATTGAAATGTGGAGCTTGTTCAAGGAACAGCTACTGCGTGTCCTTGATAAGTACATACCTGTCAGGCAGGGAGGAAGTGGTCGAGCGAGGGAACCGTGGTTTACTAAAGAAGTTGCATCTCTTTCAAGAGGAAGAAGGAGGCTTATGTAAAGATGAGGTGTGAAGGCTCAGTTAGGGCGCTTGAGAGTTACAAGTTAACCAGGAAGGACCTAAAGAGAGAGCTAAGAAGAGCCAGGAGGGGACATGAGAAGTCTTTAGCAGGTAGGATCAAGGAAAACCCTAAAGCTTTCTATAGGTATGTCAGGAATAAAAGAATGACTAGAGTAAGATTGGGGCCGGTCAAGGACAGTAGTGGGAAGTTGTGCGTGGAGTCCGAAGAGATAGGAGAGGTGCTAAATGAATATTTTTCGTCAGTATTCACACAGGAAAAAGACAAAGGTTGTCAAGGAGAATACTGAGATGCAGTCTATTAGACTAGACGGGATTGAGGTTCATAAGGAGGAGGTGTTAGCAATTCTGGAAGGTGTGAAAATAGATAAGTCCCCTGGGCTGGATGGGGTTTATCCTAGGATTCTCTGGGAAGCTAGGGAGGAGATTGCAGAGCCTTTGGCTTTGATCTTTATGTTGTCATTGTCTTCAGGAATAGTGCCAGAAGACTGGAGACTAGCAAATGTTGTCCCCTTGTTCAAGAAGGGGAGTAGAGACAACCCTGGTAATTATAGACCAGTGAGCCTTACTTCGGTTGTGGGTAAAGTGTTGGAAAGGATTATAAGAGATAGGATTTATAATCATCTAGAAAGGAATAATTTGATTAGGGATAGTCAACACGGTTTTGTGAAGGGTAGGTCGTGCCTCACAAACCTTATTGAGTTCTTTGAGAAGGTGACCAAACAGGTGGATGAGGGTAAAGCGGTTGATGTGGTGTATATGGATTTCAGTAAAGCATTTGATAAGGTTCCCCACGGTAGGCTATTGCAGAAAATACGGAGGCATGGGATTGAGGGTGATTTAGCTGTTTGGATCAGAAATTGGCTAGCTGTAAGAAGACAGAGGGTGGTGGTTAATGGGAGATGTTCATCCTGGAGTTCAGTTACTAGTGGTGTACCGCAAGGATCTGTTTTGGGGCCACAGCTGTTTGTCATTTTTATAAATGACCTGGATGAGGGCGTAGAAGGATGGGTTAGTAAATTTGCAGATGACACTAAAGTCGGTGGAGTTGTGGATAGTGCAGAAGGATGTTGCAGGTTACAGAGGGACATAGATAAGCTGCAGAGCTGGGCTGAGAGGTGGCAAATGGAGTTTAAATGCGGAAAAGTGTGAGGTGATTCACTTTGGAAGGAGAAACAGGAATACAGAGTACTGGGCTAATGGTAAGATTCTTGGTAGTGTGGATGAGCAGAGAGATCTCAGTGTCCATGTGCATCGATCCCTGAAAGTTGCCACCCAGGTTGATAGCGTTGTTAAGAAGGCGTACAGTATGTTAGGTTTTATTGGTAGAGGGATTGAGTTTTGGAGCCATGAGGTCATGTTGCAGCTGTACAAAACTCTGGTGCGGCCGCATGTGGAGTATTGCGTACAGTTCTGGTCGCCGCATTATAGGAAGGATGTGGAAGCATTGGAAAGGGTGCAGAGGGGATTTATCAGGATGTTGCCTGGTATGGAGGGAAGGTCTTATGAGGAAAGGCTGAGGGTCTTGAGGCTGTTTTCGTTAGAGAGAAGAAGGTTAAGAGGTGACTTAATAGAGACATACAAGATGATCAGAGGATTAGATAGGGTGGACAGGGAGAGCCTTTTCCTCGGATGGTGATGGCTAGCACGAGGGGACATAGCTTTAAATTGAGGGGTGATAGATATAGGACAGATGTCAGAGGTAGGTTCTTTACTCAGAGAGTAGTAAGGGCGTGGAATGCCCTGCCTGCAACAGTAGTAGACTCGCCAACTTTAAGGGCATTTAAATGGTCATTGGATAAACATATGGATGAAAATGGAATAGGGTAGGTTAGATGGGCTTCAGATTGGTTTCACAAGTCGGCGCAATATCGAGGGCCGAAGGGCCTGTACTGCGCTGTAATGTTCTATGTTCTATGTTCTGGCAATTGTGTGGGGTTTGCATGTTCTCCTGTGTCTGTGTGGGTTTCCTCTCGGTGCTCCCACAACCCAAAGGTGTGTAGGAAAATGCAGAGTTACAAGGATAGGTTAGGAGGATCGATATGGATTCAATGGGCCTAACGGCATACTTCCACACTGTAGGGATTCTATAAAATCTAGGAGCAGAAGTCAGCCATGAGTCAGGATAGTGAAGAAGGCGTTTGATATGCTTGTCTTTATTGGTCAGTGTATTTAGTATAGGTGTTGGGGCTGTACAGGACATCGGTTAGGGCCACTTTTGGAATACTGCATACAATTCTGGTCTCCCTGCTATAGGACGGATGTTATGAAACTTGAAAGGGTTCAGAAAAGATTTATAAGGATGTTGCCAGGGTTGGAGGGTTTGAGCTATAGGGAGAGGCTGAATAGGCTGGGGCTATTTTCTGCGGAGTGGTGAAGGCTGAGGGGTGACCTTATGTAGGTTTCTAAAATCATGAGGGTAAGTAGGCAAGGTCCTTGCCCCGGGTGGGGGATTCCAAAACTAAAGAGCACAGGTTTAAGGTGAGAGGGGAAAGATTTAAAGGAGACCCAAGGAGCAACTTTTTCACTCAGAGATAGTAAGAACTGCCGATGTTGGAGTCAGAGATAACACAGTGTGGAACTGGATGAACACAGCAGGCCAGGCAGCATCAGGGGAGCAGGAAACCTGACGTTTCAGGTCGGGACCCTTCTTCAGAAATTGAGTCTGCACGGACCCTCTGAACAGAATCTCACCCAGACCCACCCCATCCCATCCCGACATCGGGTGTTTACAATGGCTAACCCACCTAATCAGCACATCCATGGACACTACGGGCAATTTATAGCATCTAGCCTGCACACCTTCGGTATGTGTGAGGAAACCAGAGCATCCAGCAGAATCTCACGCAGCCACAGGGAGAATGCACAAACTGTCACCCGTGGGTGGAATCGAACTTGGGTCCCTGATGTGGTGAGGCAGTGGTTCTGACCACCGTGCTGTCCCAGTGGATGGGGAGGAACTGTTTCCATTGGGGAGCAAAATCTACTAGTTGGACTCAGACGTTTCAGAAGTGAAATTAGATATCACATTCACACATAAAAGGTGTGGGAGAGTTTTGAAACTCTCGCTCAAATGGCTGTCGGTGTGGAGTTGAGGCCGAGATGAGATCAGCCACGATCATATTGAATGTTGGAGCAGGCCCTAGGGGCTGAATGGCCTACTCCTGCTCCTAGTTCTTATGTTCCCTCACTCAGCACTGCACTGAAACAGTCAGTCTCTAAGAGGCATTCACACTTAACAATCTTGTGTCTCACACAACTGCGATTAAAGATACGACTTGTATTTTCATAGAACTTTTCGATCTGCTTTACAAGCTTCCGAGGAGAATCAGAATTCCTTATCGAATGAAGCAGACAACCTCTGCACAGACCATTGGTATCTGGAAGTCAGACGGCGTGACTGATTTGAAGCTAAATCTGCCAGATACCCACTGAATGAGGGCCACACTTTATACACAGAATGCACAGGGTGAAGGGGAGTACAAAAAGGTCAGAAAATTACAACTAACCAAGCTGTCCATTGTGGAAATACCCTGTCATCTGTGTTTGGAACTCGCCAACATTTGGGAGGGTGTAATTGGATCCTTCGTCTGCAAGTGGCATCGCGCAAGCACCATCTGCACTGTCAGTGGGCCTTATTTCACTCAGGTTGCTTGGAAGCACTGCGTACTCTGGAGGATAGTTGGAAGCACAGAGGGCTGCTCCCATTTCCATCATGGTTCCTTCTCCACCGTCCCCTGAGATGAGACAGATGCCAGATCAGTTCGCGACATTGTCCACTCCTGCTGCCAACCCAACTGGGTGTTACCCTTACACCAGCCCCCACACCCCCCACCAGGCCAGCACTCCTGCCCACACTCAGGGCACCCTCCGAGGTGAAGTTACAGCCTAACACCGTGGTACATGCATTTCCAAACCCACCGGGTTGCTGGTCAGAATGGAGCATTCTATTGTAGAAGTCGGGGGAGGGGACTGTTCCTGGGGCACAGGAGCAGGCCTCTGGTACCCAGGTGAGCAATGCCAGTGGCTGGCAACGCTGTCAATGATGGTCTTTTTAAGGAAGGAACAGGATTTTGGAATCAACCTGTTCAGAGACATTTCTGCACACGCAGGTGGGATTTGAACCTGGGCCTCCTGGCTAAAGGTAGGGACATTACCACCGCATCACATGAGCCCCTCAGGATGAACCAGATCTGTTTTTCTAAACCACCTGTTCAGAGTTGTTATTTTACGCCTCTGGAGCAGGTGGGACTTGAATCTGGGCCTCCCGGTCCAGGACAGGGACACTACCACTACACCTAAGAATGGATTAGGTCTGTTTTTCTAATCAAACTGTTCAGAGATGTTATGATATACCTCTGGAGCAAATGGGATTTGAACCCAGGCCTCGTGGCTGAGGTGTAGGGACACTACCACTGAGCCAAAACAGCGAACCAGACCATGCTCCACAGATAACACAGAGCAGCGTACGCTCATTGGAGCATATGTTCAGGAGCTGGTCTGCTTTGATAGCCTGCATTGCTCTTATCAGGATTTGCATGGAAATTATTCACTTGGAAAACACAGGCGATTTACTGCTGGTGCTGAACAGATAGAGGAGAAAAAAAACACCACGGGTGATTTGTTGGAGGGAAAAGAAGAACAGTCCTGTGTAAGAGCACTTCGGGATACGGGATTTTTAAAAAAAAAGCAAAGGGGCTAGTCTTTTGTCAGGCTATCGTGGTGCTGTGTTCCCATTTATGAGCCAGAAAGCATCGGCTCAAGTCCTATCTACTCCAGAAGTGTGTCACAACATTTTTTCTTTTGGAATTAATCTGTCCAGACATATCAGCAGCTCGTTACTTGTGTATGAAGTTCCAGGTTAAATTCCCACCTGCCCCAGCATCGCGTCCTAACAGGTTGATTTGATTTTCTTTTTTTTTTTAAAAAGGGGGCTAGTTTTCTTTCCCCCCCCCCAGTAAAGGGAGTCGGTTAGAGGGCAGATTGGGATTTGTACCGAATTATGAAAAGCGACTAAAGAGTTGTGGAAAGTAGTTGGGTTCCTGGTTCAGTGAATGGAAAACTGGCTATTTCAGAGCGGGCAGGCTACAAACAGAGAACTCAGTTGATTTGTCATGAGGGTCGGGTTATGTCAATCGTTCCAATTCAGTGAAGATGAATTTTATGGTGTGAGGTTGTCAATAGAAGAGTCTTTTTTTTTTGATATTCATTCACGGGATGAGTTTGTTGCTGCCTAGGCCAGCATTCATTGCCCATCCCTAATTGCCCAGTGTGCAATCAAGAGTTAACCCCATTGCTGTGGATCTGGAGTCATATGTAGGCCAGACCAGGTAAGGATGGCAGTTTCCTTCCCCAAAGGACATTAGTGAACCAAATGGGTTTTTCCCGACAATCGATTCAACGTTATCATTTGACTCTTAATTCCAGATTTTTACTGAATTCGAATTCCACCATCTGCCGTGGCAGGATTTGAACCCAGTTCTCCAGAACGTTACCTGGGCCTCTGGATTAACAGATCCAGCGAAAATACCACCGGGCCATCACCTCCCCTTTCTCTCCAAACACCCCAGCTCCTTTCCCCATTGAGACTTGTAATTCAACTCCATCATTATGCTTATATTGTTGCCCTCAGTCCCAGGGCATTTAAGGGGGGGGGAACAGAAACAAAACTTAAATTCTGCCCTTCCCCCACCGTCCTCAGTCAGACAGTGAGATCATGTTGCTCAAATGTCCAGAGCAAAGCATGAACCCTGACCTTCAGAGAGTGCTAGCCACTGAGTCTGCAAGGAGAAGGGAGCTAACAGAGAGCAGACAAACCAGTCTGGTGCTTGAACTGGCCTCAGTGCCCTTAAGTTGAAATGTGAAAATCTACTTGCAAGTGACTCTTTTTGTTGGAGAGGAAAGGCCGAGGATTTGCCACGATCGAAGACACGAAGACCCGCAGCAGGATAGAAATGAAACAATGTTATTTACCTGACGCCTGGTCCAATATCATCATGTCTCGCAAGCTGCTCTCCAGTGTCCCCTATTGAAGGCACAGATAAGATTATCCCACAGATCAAACTCATGGGCCACCACTCAAAAAACATAACTCCAATTCAGAGATCAATCGACTTTGTAGTGATTGTAACAAAGTCAGATAGGTGGATCTCACAGAATACGAGTTCCCTGATCGAGGCTGTTAACCTGGTCCAATCAGGGAGACAACAAGGTGCAGGGCTGGATGAACACAGCAGGCCAAGCAGCATCATAGGAGTAAAAAGGCTGACGTTTCGGGCCTAGACCCTTCATCAGAAAAGGGGGAGGGGAAGGGGGTTCTGAAATAAATAGGGAGAGAGTGGGAGGCGGATAAAGATGGATAGAGGAGAAGATAGGTGGAGAGGAAACAGACAGGTCAAAGAGGCGGGGATGGAGCCAGTAAAGGTGAGTGTAGGTGGGGAGTTAGGGAGGGGATAGGTCAGTCCAGGGAGGACGGACAGGTCAAGGGGGTGGGATGAGGTTAGTTGGTAGGAGATGGGGGTGCAGCTTGAGGTGGGAGGAGGGGATAGGTGGGAGGAAGAACAGGTTAGGGAGGCAGGGACGAGCTGGACTGGTTTTGGGATGCGGTAGGGGGAGGGGAGATTTTGAAACTTGTGAAATCCACATTGATACCATTGGGCTGCAGGGTTCCCAAGCGGAATATGAGTTGCTGTTCCTGCAACCTTCAAGTGGCATCGTTGTGGCACTGCAGGAGACCCAGGATGGACATGTCGTCTGAGGAATGGGAGGGGGAGTTGAAATGGTTCGCGACTGGGAGGTGCAGTTGTTTATTGCGAACCGAGCATAGGTGTTCTGCAAAGCGGTCCCCGAGCCTCCGCTTGGTTTCCCCGATGTAGAGGAGGCCACAACGGGTACAGCGGATGCAGTATACCACATTAGCAGATGTGCATCTGCTTGATGTGGAAAGTCTTCATTGGGGCCTGGGATGGGGGTGAGGGAGGAGGTATGGGGGCAGGTGTAGCACTTCCTGCCGTTGCAGGGAAAAGTGCCGGTTCTGGTGGGGCTGGAGGGGAGTGTGGAGCGGACAAGGGAGTCACGGAGAGAGTGGTCCCTCCGGAAAGCAGATAAGGGTGGGGAGGGAAAGATGTCTTTGGTGGTGGGGTCGGATTGCAGATGGCGGAAGTGTCAGAGGATTATGCGTTGGATCTGGAGGTTGGTGGGGTGTACGTGAGGACGAGGGGGATTCTGTTTTGGTTGTTATTGCGGGGAGGGGGGGTGAGGGATGAGTTGCAAGAAATGCGGGAGACACGGTCGAGGGCGTTCTCGACCACTGAGGGGGGGAAGTCGCGGTCCTTGAAAAACGAGGACATCTGAGATGTACGGGAGTGGAATGCCTCATCCTGGGAGCAGATGCGGCGGAGGCGAAGGAATTGGGAATAGGGGATGGCATTTTTGCAGGAAGGTGGGTGGGAGGAGGTGAATCAGGGAACCCTGGCTGACAGCTATAAACAGGAGTGTCAGGGTTTCTGTTCATTCTGAGAGCTGGCTCTGAGGGAGCTGGGTTGGTGTCAAGGTCAGCATAAATAAAGGGTGACTTGGTGATGGGATACCAGCTTCTGTGGAGTTATTTCAGACACCTTCACGAGAACCTTCCACCCGCTGGATATTGTGAAGAGGCCCTCTAGCCTAGGCAGGCAACCATGGCAAGTTACGATCTCCAAGGAGCAAATCAAGATCCAGGTAGGCCTTTCGTCCCCCCGCCCCGTGAAAGAGGTAATTGAGTGACCCAATCAAAGTCGTTACAAATTACAACTGGGTGGACTCAGGAAAGATGTCTCCAAAGGGAACTAGAGAGGAGTGAGGGATCTACTGCAATGATGGGACAGGGTTCAACACTTGGAAGTTAGCAACCCACCTGGTCTTGTTCCATTATGGTATCAGCAAGAGCTGATGTCAAGGTAGAAGAATTGGATAAGAAGTCTTCTGGACAGGTTTTTGAGTTGATCCTAGAGTCAGACAGCACGGAAACAGACCTTTCGTCCCACTAGTCCATGATGATCATAATCCCAAACTAAACTAGTCCCATCTGTGTGTGCTTGGCCCATATCCCTCCAAACATTTCCTATTCACATACTTATCCAAATATCTTTTAAAAGCTGTAACTGTACCTGCATCCACCACTTCATCAGGAAGTTCATTGCACTCGTAAATCACTCTCTGTGTTGCCCCTAATGTCTTTTTTTAAATCGTTCTCCTCTCACCTTAAAAACATGTCCCCTCCTCTTGAAATCCCTCAGTCTAGGGAAAAGACGCCTGCCATTTACCTTATCCACACCCCTCATGATATTATAAACCTCTATAGGTCATCTCTCAACCTCATACGCTCCAGAAAAATGTCCCAGCCTCCCCTTATAACTCAAACCCTCCATTCCCGGCAACATCCTGGTAAATCTTTTCTAAATCTTGTCCAGTTTAATAATATCCTTCCTATAACAGGGCAATCAGAACTGCACACAGTGCTTCACAAGAGGCCTCACCAATGTCCTCTACAACCTCAACATGATGTCCCGAGCTATTCCAGAGAAACGCCTCTCTCTTCCAAACAAAAAGGGTCACTCATTAGGAGACACGCACAGCCATTATGAAGCAGCAGGAATCAGGCAAAAATCACACAAGGCAGAAGGGCTAAAGCATTTGGCTGAAAAATGTGAGCATGAGAAGAAAGTGCTTCGGACAGCTCTGGAAGAAAAACATTAATGGCAGAAGAAAAACTGGCCACCAAAATGGAACAAACAAATAGAACCATGAAGCCCAACTCTGGTGACCAAAGTGGAATGCCAGGGAGACAGGGAAAAACGGATGAAGTGCATGGAGAAAAGATTTACCAGAATGTTGCCGGGAATGGAGGGTTTGAGTTATAAGGAGAGGCTGGATAGGCTGGAACTTTTTTTCCAGAGTGTATGAGGATGAAGTGCAAAAAAGTGAAGAGATCAAAGAAGAAAGTGATGATGAGCTCCATGTGAATCCTTTTTTTTGTTTGGAATTTGAGGATTTTCAAACATCCGAAGATGTGTTTTATTTTTAAATGGCCAGTGTGTTAATGGGAACTCCTCCTAATTTTGTAGTAAGGCCGGCAAGTCAGCAACTGTAAGCCAAAAGCTGGCCATTGGGGAAGCTTGTATTTTGCATCAATTTTGTCAGTAATCCTGTGGATCTTTTTACCCTTGTTTCCCCGCACCCC